AACTTCAAACAGATTCAGTTATTTGTTAATCGATGTCTCACCTTCGACGTAATTATCATCGACTTACGCTCCGAAGTACCACCACTCCGCACCAGGATCTTACCTGGAGAGGACACGGTATTGTATTTACCTAAACAAAAATGAAGAGTTTAATAGAATTCTGGTTGATAGCATCGGGCAAGCATAAGCTAGCATCTTGTTGACGTTAACAGATCAACAACTAAAGTTTCTGATGGAATAATTCATAACGTTTTAACAGAAAACATTTCAATTTCTGACGAGGATAAAAAGAATAGCTTAACATAAAGTGGTCATACGTGGGGTATTGACGGAAGGGATAAGTAGACGTTAGAGAATACGGAGACTTCTTTCAGTGAGAAAAATATTACCCGTATTCTTTAGAAATAACTTGACATGGCTAGATCAATTATATTGATATCAAAGTCAAAATATGACGACATTATCAAAAGAGAAAAACCCCACGAGAAATTAGACGAATCGATCATCCCACCGGGTACCGATATTAACTCTTAATAAGTCGGAGGATGATGTCACTCCATCTGATAGAATGAAAGTCGATAAGTCCCCCCCCCCCCCTCAGACGGAGCATGCGTAGAAAAGCAGAGTCAGCGAGGTGGAAAACTTTTTGCAAATACCACGCCTCTTCAATTTGAGAACAAAGTGAAAGAAACCAAGCGAAATGGTTGTCATTCACGATATAAAACCTTTACATTTGAACGAAAGTGGACATATGAGGGATGAAACACTTAAACGAGAAACATAGCAGCACGATATTTTGATGATTTACCTAATTCAATGTCCAAACGAGAAGAAAATGCCATAGAAACTCGAAAAAAGTTGAAAAGGACATTGGATGCGGTGGATTTATCTCCGACTAAAAAAGTCAGAAATGAAAATAAGGGTGAACAAAATAAGGCACTTAAAGACAGTAATAGACAGAAAGTTTTCACTTGTGATGTGTTTGAGAAGTTATTTCATACGGAAAACAAACTGAAGCACTACATGAAAACTCCTTACCAACAGTTAAGGTGTAATGTACGTGGGAATGTGTTTCACGATGCAAGTAACCTGAGAAGGCACGTGAATAACGTACATAAAAAGTGAAATCACAAATGGCACGTATGCAATAAGACGTTCGGAAGGGAAAATGCCATGAGAGCACACGTGAAAGAGCTATTCGATCATCCCTACCTGAACCCTTAAGGACACCACCACCAATGCGAGATCAGTCGCCGCTGCCGGAACCTTCAGGTGTTCAGTCGCCGCTGCCGGGGCCTTCCGGTGTTCAGTCGTCGCTGCAAGGACCTTCCGGTGTTCAGTCACCGCTGCCGGGACCTTCCGGTGTTCAGTCGCCGCTGCCGGGACCCTCCGGTGTGCAGTCGCCGCTGCCGGGACCTTCCGGTGTTCAGTCGCCAGTGTTGGGATCATCTGTGCAAGAAGGACATACTTTTTCGGACGAAGTGAGTTTGGGAGGGAATGCTAATGTCACAAACATTTTTCCGAATTTCGAGGACAGTACTGACATACTGACATGTTTTACTAATTCGAAAACGGAAGTGATGGAAAATGTACAAAATCTGTGTGAGAGTTTGAATGGGATCAAATGGTATTTAAACATTCGTACATCATTGGAAAAGGAAGATCGAGAAAGTAATGTAGTGCAGACCACACCACATTTCTTTCTAAAACATACATATTGATGCCAAATGAATCGGGTCTAGAACATGATATCAATGACGCTTATTAGAAAATGTTTGCCTCACTGGAGGGACAAGGGTCTGCATGGGTACTCAAGAAAATCATCTAGCTGGAAATACACGTTGCAAATTACTCACCTCTGCATGGTTCCTCTTACATACCGACTCCATCGACTTTTCGTACACACTATTTGATCAATATCCTCAATCGTGACGAAAAGTTCTTCTTATGGTCGTTTTGGACGTCTCTCCATCCGGTCAATACCTTACCCGAACGCGTTTTTCTTCTCGTACGAATGCGAATTATATATGACAGGTATCAAGTATCTTGCTCCATCTCTCAAGTCGACAAATTTGAAAGACAGAACGATATAGCAGTAAACGTGTTTGGTGTCGAGGATAAAACCGTTTATCCCATGTACGTTTAGTCTGGGTGACATTAGATTCATAGATTCGTTTCAGTTTATGTCTCAGAGCCTAGAGACTCTGACTGAAAATCTTGCCAAAGAGGGTTTAGTGAAATTTAATAACTTCTCCAGATAATTTTCTGAATCAGAAGCCAAATTGCTTCTCAGAAAAGGTGTATATCCCTACGAGTACGTGGACAACCCCGATCGGTATTCCGAACAAAATCTCCCTCCAAAAGAGAAATTATATAGTTCGTTGAGTCGATCACACGTGTCAGATGCCGTTTACACACATGCAAAGAACGTATGGAAGAAACTGAACATTTTAGACCTTGGTCAGTATCACGATCTCTATCTCAAGACGGACGTGCTACTATTGGCCAATGTCGAAAACTTCAGAAACATGTGCCTGGAATATTACGGGTTAGATGCAGCTCACTTCTATACCAGTTCAGGTCTGGCTTGGAGTGCAGCCTGAAATGACGGAAGTGAGGTTAGAGATCCAGACATGTATCTCTTCTTCGAAAACGGGGTACGAAGTTGTGTTTCATGTAGTATGATCTCTAACAAATACGCTCAATCTAACAATCCTTACATTCCAGAAACGTACGACCTCTTCCAACCACACTCATACATCATGTATACGGATTGGAATAACTTGTACGGGAAGGCCATGTCGAAATCGTTACCCGTGGGAGGGTTTCAATGGGTTGAGAACCCACAAACATTTGACATAACCAAAGTCACCAAAGACGGAGACTTGGGGAACGTACTAGAGGTAGATCTGGAATACCCAAACGAACTCCATGACAGTCATTCCGATTACCCCCTCGCTCTGGAACGAACAAAAATATCTGACAAAGAAATTGTTGTAGTAGTGTCATTATTTGTCATTATTGCTTTTAATATATTTGGAATCATGCTGTATCATTAGATAAAGTGTAAACTGTAATTTCTATATAATATATAGATTAAATGTCAGTTTGTAAAATACGTATTCCACTATTGTAACCTATGTAACTGGCTACGGCCAGGTAGTTGTTTGACATGTTTTAGCTTATGTGATTGTATGAATGTACAGTATGTATAATAATATAATGTATTTCATGTTACAGAGTTTTTACAAGAAATAAACTAAACTAAAAGAAAAAAACCCAGTTGTCATTTATCCCGGATAAAGACGACTATTACATTATCACCAACCAGTAAACAGCTATGAAAAACTTAACATCCTAACCCCGAACACACCGATGACAAATTACAAGGGCGTGTACAGACAGAAAAACTGATTCCAACATTAGAACACAAGACGAAACCATCTGTCATTATATTATCTACAGTTGTACGTGGAATTGGGTCTAAAAGTCACCAAAATCCACAGAATCCTAGAATTCAAACAAAAACTTGGTTACGCCCGTACATACTATTCAACACGACCAAAGGAGTCACATGTAAGAACGAGTTCGAGAAAGATTTCTTTAAACAAATGAATAATTCCGTGTTCGGTAAGACGATGGAAAACGTGCGATCTAGAGTCGATATCAAGCTGGCACACACGGACAAAAAAATCAAAAAGTACGTGGCAAGACCATATTTAACGAAGGCTTGGTAGCCATTCAGAACGATAAAGTGAAACTAGTATTGAACACACCCGTTTATGTAGGACTGACCATTCTAGATCTATCGAAATGTATCATGTACGAGTTTTACAAGTACCTAAAACCGAGATATGGAGATAGAATAAAGTTACTCATGACGGACACGGACAGTCTTTTGTATCACGTTCAAGGCCCAGAAGTCTATGCCGACATGTATCGGGACAGACACCTATTCGATCTGTCCAGTTATCCGGTCGACCATCGTTGTTACGATACAAAGAACAAAAAGATACCCCGGTATTTCAAGGACGAAACAGGAAGCGAACCCATTGCACAGTTTGTAGGACTCCGCGCTAAAATGTACTCGTCCGTCTATGCCGTGCGCGAACGGATAGAAATAGATAATCTTACTGTCCTTTATAACGATATGAACAAAAATCAGGTAGCTAAAGGCATTGCAAAGACGACCGTTAGAGGCGATATAAGGCACGAAATATATAGGTACTGTTTATTCGAAGATAAAATTAAAATGTGTAAAATGAATTCGATTAGAAGCGATAAACACAAACTGTACGTTTATGCCGTCAACAAGTCGGGTCTGTGTGCCTTCGGTGACAAGCGTTGGGTCTTACCCAATCGGTGTGATACGCTTGCGTTTGGTCATTACATAATTTCTATAATAGATTGGCATTAAAAAATGAAACAGAAATGCAGTTTTACAAATATTTATTTCAAATGTACCATCAGACAGAAGTCGTCATGAATGATTGTAAAACTTTTTTTTGTTTTTTTTTTTAAAAAAAACCCTTATGAAATTTAACAAGAAAGTTTTAAGTTTAAAAACAAATATTTAAAAAGAAAACTAAATTAAAGTCTACAATATTTTTCAATGGATCTTAAGATTGTTGTTTGTATAATGTACTTATAGATGTTTTGTTTTAATTTTATTTCTCAATATGAATGTTATTAACCATTACTAAAGTTTAGCAAAATGAAATCGTTTGTTCTGTATTGAAGTCAATCCCCCTACACACAAATTCCATTGGATCATTGCTGCAGAGGCCAAGAAGCTGGCTGTGGACGCTGAGAAGATAGCTGAAGAGGCTGAGAAACTTGCGGTGGAGGAATTGGCAGTTGGGGGCAGACTATTGGAGAAAAAAAGAAACATTTCTCTAATATTTCAAAGATATTACATTAAAAAGATCTTGTGCTATTACTATGACAGTACTAACGTTTATAAGATGTAAGTTTCCCTCCAATGTCACCTTTATATTGATCAAGTCCTGATAATCCTCCCACGATAGTGGAAGATAGTATTTGTTTTGTTTTTTGGTGATGTGTAGATAAATCACCCCATGAAATTATTTCACCGATACTTGACAAGGACTTTTCCGTCGTTCCATCTGGCGCCAAAGTCTAGAAAGTGTCGGTTAACTGTATTGGCGCGCTTTTTATAGAGAAGGAACGGCCAATGAAAAGCTATGTTTACGGAATGGTTGATTTGTCAATTACATTTTCAATATTTGGAAGGCGTGTTTATTATTTTTTAAGATGTGTTTTTAGTGAAATACGTTGCACAATCGTGATGAATTCATTTTTTTTTCTTTCACTCACCCGCAAGTCATTAAAAAGATGTGTATGGCGAGGACCTACTTTATACCAAAAAAAATAAATAAAAATAAAAAATGAGTAGATATATACTGTAATAAAACTTTATTCACACTTGGATTACATTATTAAACATACATTCCACTATAAATAAGGACACTTTTGCCTTGTCCCTTTGACTGCATATTTAAATGAATATGTAATTAATTTCCAGAGATTCTTGATATGGATATACCTCCGATCACGATGCCAGTCCCGCCTCCAGCATCAGGTAAGTTAGAATTTTAAGTAAGTCTTCACAGTTGATAATAATGATGTTTATTCACTAGTCTTGAATACTGTTTTTAAATGTTGTATTGCATATTACATTGTAGATGACACTCTAGTGAATGATGAGGGAGATGTGTAAGAGGAGGAGAAGGAGGAGGATCCATTTGAGGGTGTATAGAAAACGTTTTTCAATAAGTTGTATTGATTTAGAATTTGTTTCATATTTCAATACCGTGTGTTAGAATGAACATTAATTCTAATTATTCTTTCTAAATTGTAGATTCTAGGGAGGAACTGGAAGGCACCCCCACATCCCTCTCCCCCAACAGATCATCAGGTAAGAATTTATACAGTCAAATTGATTTGGAGGTAGACTGCTTATTTGACCTGGTAAGAATATATGAATGGTTCTGTTAAGCATTTTTTATCCATTGTATTGAAAAAAGTTTCTAAAGAATGTTTCTATTTTTTAACTTGTAGTTAAGGTGGATATGGAGGTGGAATCCAGAAGCCCCTACCAACTGCGAAGTCAGTTCCTATACTAAATATTTTGTAATATTTTGTGATATTTGTGGAGGTGGAATCCAAAAGCCCCTACCAACTGTGAAGTCGGTTCCTATAATATATATTTTGTGATATTTGTGGAGGTGGAATTCAGTAGCCCCTACCAATTGCGAAGTCCTGTCCTATAATATATATTTTGTGATATTTTGTGATATTTTGTGATATTTTATTGTAATGTTTTATTGTGATAACTACTGTTTAATCTTTTGATAAATCAAAATACTCAGGGTAAATTGTGTGTTTATTAATTGTGATTTCTTTTTTTATTATTTTGTATATATATATTGTTTCTTTTTATACAAATAAATACTCAGGGTAAAGTGTGTCTATTTTTCAGTTCTGTTTTATAACTATATTGTGATGATTATACCGATGTTTAATTATAATGTTTATACAAATTATTACTTAGAAACTTTTTTATGATTTCTTGTAACATTATTTTACTGTGATAACTACATCTTTGATCATATGTATGTCATTTTGTGATGTTTTATTGTGATGATTACTGTTTAATCTTTTTATAAATAAAAATACTCAGGGTAAAGTGTGTCTATTTTTTAGTTCAGTGATGTTTCTTGTGACGATTTTTTTTTTATCTTATCAATAATGTTTAGGATACCTTTTTAGTGTGATTACACCAAAGTTTAAAATATCTATTTTTCATATGATTATTCCAATGTTTAAGATAAATATTTTTATTATAAGTATACATACACAATCATAAACAAGGAGATGTTTGCCTTTTTATTTACTGTGCCAAATAAATGTTTAAATTTGAAAACTGTGTTTTTTATTATTCCAATGCAACTTTTAAGAATAGAGTCTGCGATTCAGTGACATATACTTATCGGACTCCGAGCCTTTTAATAGTATTAGATTCATAGTGGTCGATTAAAAGCAGAATTGTTTACATTGACTGGTGCCGGTTTTCCCAATCCTCCGACATCGACATCAATCCTATTGTTTTGAAATGTAGACATGTTGCTTTTTACCAAATGGATGCCTTAGATATTTATGATGTTGTGTATGCCGGAGTGAGTAGAGCACTCAAGGGTTAGACGAATTGAAAATGGTTCACGCACTTGAATCAGTTAACAACTTTACCGTGTACTATATAAACGTCACTTGATCAATTTCTGAAGAATTCAGTCGTTATCATCTCTCCCTATTAGCATTAAACGTCAGCTTCACCCACCAACGCGTCTGGCACACAATAGAGAGAGAAAGCATTTGCCTTCTCTCCTTCCTCTTCATGAGAAAGTGATGCTCCCTTTCATAAACGGGAACATTTTATTACTTCTCTTTGTGTTGCCACACCGAGCCTGAACTCCTTATATAGGGTTGTATGCAGTCCTAATTTGCGAAGCAACAAGATTGCCCGCTGAAACCTTTCAAGACATTTAGGACGTGCTTCACCATCCATGTTGATCTAGAAAGTGAGTAGAATTGTGACTGTGTATGTTACTTTACACCTGTGCGTCCTAAAGTATATAAGTATGGTACGGAAGTTTTCTCTTCTCTTTTTTTTCATCTCATGAATAACAAATATCGAGTGCGGTCAGGTGTGATGACTTCAGGTGCATTTTATCACATGCTTTCATCTTGGAACAACATATTCCTACTCCTTCGAGCTACCATTGTTCCAAGTACATTTTATCCAATACTTTCATAAAATATTCCTACTCCTCCTAGCTACCATTCGTTCGATCCTGCAATATGGGAGATACATGTAAATAAACGGTTTGAGTTTTCTGTGTATGGCTTACCAAATACTGTTAATGGAATGTTGTTCCTTCAATATGATGCCTTCTAAATTTGAAAGAGTGGGTTCGATTGTAAAACTTAATAAAATATAAATACGTTTTGAAAAAAAGATAAAAGTCTATTTCTTTTTTTCTTGATCTGAGCCATTGAATGTGTTGAAAATTCTCCTCACTCAATGTATATATATACCCCTAAAAAGGACCTACACACAGGGACCGGAAATTAGACCGAACCCCTAAAAAAGAGACCAATACATAGGGACCTTCACATGGGGGACCTTTTATTACCTAACAAAGGGACCTACACACAGGCGATCTAATATACAGGAACCTTTTAATACCTCATATTCCTAACAAAGGAACCTTAACATGGGGGACCTATACACACATGGACTGAGACCTTTTAGTATAAAGGGACATATACATAGTTACCGTTTATTACCTTATATTCTTAACAAAGGCACCTAAGGGACCTTTTGTTATAAAGATACCTTTTATTATAACATAGGGACATGTGAATAATTTGACTTTGTTTAGGTAACAATTAGTGCAATTTCCATTAATAATAAATTTGTCACTTTTAACTGAATTTGAATTTACAAATAGACCAACTGATCTAGCTTGATTTAAATATGTCAACGTACCTCTTAATCAAGATTATAGTGTTTTCAAACGAAATTGTATCTATTGTTAAAACAATTCCTCTATTTGTATCATCCATTATTGCCTTCGCAAACAGTTTGTCCATCGTGCGGAAACTTAAATCGACCAGTATTTCATCTTTCGCGCATAGTGCACAAATCACTAGAAAACTTGGTTTGATTTTTTCCTTCGGTATGCGATATCTTGCACTGGATTCTTCTATTCGGATCCACTCCGTGAGTTTCGAATCAGCTGCGACATATACATAGTGTAGGTATACTTTTATAAAAAAGGGGAAGTTAACAATCTTAAAATCCGGTCTTGTAGATTTCAGGTTGTGGTGGTAATATAAAATCGACGAGTTCAACAGATTTCTTGTTATTCTACGACGACATATCATCTATAAATCTAAAATTGGAAAGGAAATCAATAAAAAAGGCAACTTACACTTTAATTGGGAAATGGTTGGCGATTTTGGGCCGTCTGTAGGAAGACGTCAGGTGGTTGATTCAGCGATTGAATTACCGAAAACTGGCAGAAATAATAAGCGTCAATTATATAACAACTCGTAGAAATATTTAAGTAGTTATGCTAGTAAATTATGCTGTTGAAAGGTTTTTTAAAATGTTAATAACAATTCTGTTGGATAAACATGTATTTATCCATTTAATTGTAAATATATTTGATGAGATTTAAATTGATTTTCTTACATATGCCATAACAGTTCTTATACTTGAGGCAAAAAAATGACATCTTTAACATAATGTACACATATGGTTGATGATATTGAAGATAAAATTGCAGGAATTCTGTTATGATAATAGTAAAACAGGACAAGCTTCACTAAAACTGATTTAGCGTCACCTGCTTGATCGACGACACCATCCAAATAAACGAAATTCAAATCCAAATCATGTTGCATTATCCGAGAGAAACAATGCCTTTTCTTTTAAATCACATTGAACACAAATCGATATTTGAAAATTACCGATATTCATATCGTGTCAGATATGATTGTGTTACTACAAAAAAAGCTTTTGCATATATTGCACAAATCGTGCGTATATCACGATTGATATGCACAATCGTGCGATTTAGTAATCGTTCTCCCTGTAGGCGAATATATCGGCACATACATGTATATGCGATTTAGTGCAATTGGTTCCTTAATTTTACGGATTGATAAAATACGATGTTTTTAAAATAATGAACATGGTAGATGTGTAATTTTCGATTAGTATATTTTGCTCTATCCAATTTTTCAATGCGTATTACACAATTTGACTTTTAGGTTACAGTTAGTGTAATAACATTAGTATGATTGGCCTGATTTTTATTTCGTTTATTTCGATCTATTTTGTTTCTCTCAGAAAGTCAACTGCGCCATTTGTACATCTCGGAAAATTACGAAAGTGCACCGGTCGACGAAAAAAACACCATGTAAAAATACAATACTTCTTGTTGAAAAAATTTCCATGAATAATAAATTTGACATTTTTAACTGAATTTAAATACAAATGGACCAACAGATCTAGCTTGATTTAAATATGTCAACGTACCTTTTAATCAAGATTATAGTGTTTTCAAACGAAATAGTATCTATTTTTGAAACAATTCCTCTATTTATATCATCCATGATTACCGTCGTACACAGTTTTTAATTCGTGCGCAAAGATGTGCGCAAACTTAAATCGCCCAGTATTTCATCTTTCGCGCATAGTGCACAAATCCCTAGAAAACTTGATTGAATTTTTTTTCTTTCGTATGCGATATCATACACTGGATTCTTCTATTCGGGTCAACTCCGTGAGTTTCGAATCAGCTGCGACATTTACATAGTACAGGTAGGAAAAGCAGGGATACTTTTATCTAAAAGGAGAAAGTTCACAATCTTAAAATGTAGATATATCATCTATAAATCTAAAATTGGAAGGAAAGGCAATCAAAAGGCAACTTACACTTCGATTCTCAGACAGTGTTTGAAATTGATATGTGGCAACGGTCGGTATGATGTTCAGATGATTAACATACCGCCCTGGATTTGCCTGAAAGTGGCAGAAATAATAAGGATAAATTACATAAACACTCGTAGAAACGTGTAAGGAGATATGTTAGTAACTTATGCTGTTGATATGTTTCAAAATGATAAAAACAATTCTGTTGTATAAACATACATTTATCCATTTAATGTTACATATATGAAATGAGATTAAAATTGATTTGCTTACTGATGCCATTACAGTTCTTATACTTGAGGCAAACTAATTACATCTTTATCATAATGTACACATATAGGTTGATGATATTGAAGGATAAAATTACAGGAATCCTGATAAGGTGATAGTAAAACAGGACACGCTTCACTAAAACCGATTTAGCGTCTCCTGCTTGATCGACGACACCAGCCAAATAAAAGAATTTCAAATCCAAATCATGTTGCATTACCCGAAAGAAACAATGCATTTTCTTTCCAATCACGTTGAACACAAATCGCTATTCAAAAATAACCGATGTTCATATCGTGTCAGATATGATTGTGCTACTGCACAATACACCGAAAATAGCTTTTGCATATAGTGTACAAAATCGTTCGTATATCACGATTGATATGCACAAACGTGCGATTTAGTAATCGTTCTCCCTGTAGGCGAATATATCGGCACATACATGTATATGCGATTTAGTGCAATTGGTTCCTTAATTTTACGGATTGATAAAATACGATGTTTTTAAAATAATGAACATGGTAGATGTGTAATTTTCGATTAGTATATTTTGCTCTATCCAATTTTTCAATGCGTATTACACAATTTGACTTTTAGGTTACAGTTAGTGTGATAACATTAGTATGATTGGCCTGATTTTTATTTCGTTTATTTCGATCTATTTTGTTTCTCTCAGAAAGTCAACTGCGCTATTTGTACATCTCGGAAAATTACGAAAGTGCACCGGTCGACGAAAAAAACACCATGTAAAAATACAATACTTCTTGTTGAAAAAATTTCCATGAATAATAAATTTGACATTTTTAACTGAATTTAAATACAAATGGACCAACAGATCTAGCTTGATTTAAATATGTCAACGTACCTTTTAATCAAGATTATAGTGTTTTCAAACGAAATAGTATCTATTTATAAAACAATTCCTCTATTTATATCATCCATGATTGCCATCGCACACAGTTTGTCCATCGTGCGCAAAGATGTGCGCAAACTTAAATCGCCAAGTATTTCATCTTTCGCGCATAGTGCACAAATCCCCAGAAAACTTGATTGATTTTTTTCTTCAGTAAGCGATTTCTTACACTAGATTCTTCTATTCGGATCGACTCCGTGAGTTTCGAATCAGCTGCTACATATACATAGTACAGGAAGGGAAAGCAGGAATACTTTTTATCAAAAAGGGACAAGTTCACGATCTTAAAATACTGGTAATGTAGATTTCAGGTTGTGGACATTATACAATCCACGAGTTCAATAGAGTTCTTGTTATTCTATGACGACATTTTAATTTCTATAAATCTACAATTGGAAGAGAGGCCAATCAAAAGGCAACGGATACTTACATTGTCAAACGATCCTTGAATTTGATATGGGTTCAAACTCGGCTGTTGATAACCTTCATACTGGCAGATGATAAATAGAGCTGATATAAACACATCGTAGAAATATTTGAGTAGATATCATAGTAAATTATGCTGTTGATATGTTTTCCAGAACTATAATTAATGCGTATTACCCACGTACAGTAGTAATCATGTGAAAAATGGCCCTTTCTCTAAGATAACAATTAAGTGAATAACATGAGGATGGTCTGTCGGACACAGATAGTTGATTTGTGATACACCATATGATCGTTATGTAAAGTACAACTGGAACTTACATGTTTGGTTTATTTCGTTTGTGACGATCAAATCTCACTCTGTTAGACAACTATGACATTTGTACAACTAAGACTGTAATGTAAATGCCTGTATCGACCAGAACATCGACCCCTCCCCCATAAGTGAACAAAGCGGCTATGTTTACATGTATATCTGTAAGGGACTGTACCGATGTGACTATTTACTAATAACAAATTGTTTTCAAATATGTCCTTTATGAATGAATATGACATGTTTAATTGAATAATGTTCCGATACAGCACAATATCTAGCTTAGATATGTTAACAACTTTCAAATCAAGATTATAGTGTTTTAAATCGAAATCGAATATATTGTGTAAGCCATTCCTCTATTTGTATCATCCATGACTGTCATCGCATACCGTTCCTTCATCGTGCGCAAAGATGTGCGCTAAAAATAATCGCCAGGTATTTCGTCTTTTGCACATGATATGCAAATCCTTAGAAAACTTGGTTTGTGATTTTGTCCTTCAGTATACAATATCTTACACGGGATTGGTCTAATCGGAACCACTCCGTGAGTACAGAATCAGCTGCTAAATATACATAGTGCAGGTGGGAAAACATTAATACTTTTATCAAAAAGGGAAAAGTTAACGATATTAAAATGTTGGTCATGTAGATTTCGAGCTGTGGAGGTTATATACAATCGACGAGTTCAATAGAGTTCTTGTTATTCTACGACGACATCTTGATATCTATAAATCTAAAATTCGAAGAGAGGCCAATCAAAAGGCAACTGATACTTACATTGACAGACTGTTGTTGCCATTGACTTCGGACAACACTCGTTTGGCCAAACTGTGGTTGAAATTGATTTGGGGCAACAGTCATTTGCACTGGTTGCGGTCGATACCGGCAGAATTGCTAAAAAGAAATGATATAAACACATCGTAGAAATATTTGAGTAGATATCCTAGTAATTATGCTGTTGATATGTGTTCCAAAATAATATTAACACTTCTGTTGCATAAACGTGCATTTATCTATTTGATTTTCTTTCCGATGTCATAACAATTCTAATAATTGAGGAAAAATAGGTATACGATGTATCACTAGCATGATATACACATATGGGTCAATTATATTGAGGACAAAAGCAGCGTGTCCATATAGTTCACAATGTGTGCGTACAAAACGGTAGCGGAGGATATGCCTGAAGCTGGTAGCCATGGTAAATAGAAATGATATAAACACTTGCAGAGATAATTTAATAGATATGTTAATCAAGCATGCTGTTGACATGTTTTCCAAAATTATAAGAACACTTATTCATTTTATTTTACACATACTAAACGAGTAAATTTGATTTTCTTACCATTGCCATTACTGTTCTAACGCTTTAGGCAAGACAGTTATATCGTCAACAAGATATACACTTATTGGTCGAAGTGTTTGAGGACCAAGTTGCAGGAAACCTGAAATAAAAAAAGATATAAAATGAAGAGAATGTTCATTAAAATGGTTAAGCGTCTCCTGTTTCATCGACGACACCCGCCAAGTAAATAAAATTCCAATCCAAATAATGTTGTATAACTCTAAAGAAAAAAGGCATTTGCATTCAAATCACATTGAACACTTATCAATATTGAGAAAATGTCGATATTCATATTGTACCAGATGATGATGTACGGCAGCACAACACACCAACAAGCGCTTGTTTACATAGTGCACTAATCGTGCATATATCATGATTGGTACTCACAATTTAATAATCGTTCTCCCAGTTGCGTGCTTATGCCCGCTCATATGTGCGGATTTGTTCAATTTGTTAATTATTTTTTACGGAATGAAAATATTCTTAAAGTTTTGAAATAATGTGCATTGTAGATAATTAAGTAATTTCCGGCTGATATATTTTGCACTATGCCCAATATTTCAATGCGTATTACACATGTACAGTATTCACATTTGAAAAATTGGCCTTTTATTTTAGGTAGCAGTTGAGTGAATATAAACATATGGATGATTTGCCTGGCCTGTGCTGGACACAGAGAATTGATTTCTGATGCACTATATGATCGTTATGTGTTTATTTCGTCTGTGTTGATGTTATTTGTTCACCTCGGAAGGTTACGTAGGTGCCCCAGTCGACGAGAAACTCCCAAGTAAATATACACTGCGGCTATGTTTACCTGTATCCAGGTTGTATTTACACTTTTTGATTTATACAATGTCCTTTATTAATATACAGATAGACCAAGATATCTAACTTAAATATGTTAATGACCTTTAAATCTAGTAAAGTGTTTTTAGACGAAATCGTATATACTGTTTAAGCCATTCCTCTAATTATATCATCAATGAATTCTTTCCCCAGAAAACCTGGTTGATGATGATGTCCTTTACTATGCGATATCATAAAACGGTATTCGTCATATTCGTATCCATCCGGTGAGTAAAGAAGCAGCTGCGACATATAAATAAGGCAAACAAAAGGTAGGGATACTTCTATCAAAAAGGAAAAGTTCACGACCTTAAAATGTTGGTCATGTAGATTTCAGGCTGTGGAGGTTATACACAATCGATGTGTTCAATAGAGTTCTCGTTATTCAACGACAATATATCATCTATAAATCTAAAATATGAAGTGAAAGCGATATAAAGGTTTTTTATCAGTTCTCATAAGCTCTTTGATACATTTAAATTCATATGAAAGTAAAACAAAGCTCAGCTTACACTGGGACCTAAAAGTGTTCAAATATACCTGAACATACCTTCATTACTACAATTGAATGTTCCAAAACCAACTTAGCTTGTCGTTTTCTGAATTATTAATATACCTAATCCAAGAAAAAACATATAATTTATATAATTCAAAGTAGCGATCATCTTCAGTAAATATATACAAAAAATACTTATCACATGAAACATGTATGTATTGACACTAGTGTAACATATTGATAACATTTTTAATTGACAGGTGGTCTTAACAGACAGGCCGACATGAAATGGTAGTTAGGACTATGTGCTATAGACAGTAATAGTCATTAAGACAGGTTACAGTCATTCCGATCAATATTTAGAGCACTGAGAAGTCAGCAAAGGCCCCGTCATGTATCTGACCATCACCCCATTGGTTTATTTTAAGTAACACTGATATTGACCTTGACATCAGAAAACTTAGAATGTTTAAAATAAAATACAAAAACAATTTGTTTGAAAAGAACAGAAAAAACTTTAAAATACCATCAGTATTCTTTAAAATAAAATGTTTCGAAAAACTTCTCATTAAATTTGTTTTAAAATTGTATATTTCCTAGAGGCAATTCAGATGGCGGTCGATATTCTTCCGCTGAGCAAACTGTCAATTCAATACCGTCACGTATCATATCGACGTCACGTTCAATTACCTGAACCGATACGGTACTAAACATTTCTTATTTTTGTTTCTATGAAATCGTAAAAAACTAGAACAACAATGTTTTTCTCTATGTGTACTTATATGGGATGAGAGATATGCCACAAATATGTTCCACATGGGGCACTTATAAAAGAGTGCATTTTAATTTTATTTAAAAAAAATCATTATGGTATTGTTGTGCTAATGAATATTCTATAAGTTTATATAAATTCGATTCGATTCCATATATGATTATTTACTAGTGTTATAATTTTATGGAAACAACGACAAAGGCTCTATTGATGTAAAACTGTATAGTCCGTTAAGGACACGTTACAGATACTATAAAACTAACTTATATATTACTAAATGTCTAAATGTTCGTTGTTTCGGAGAGCTCAATACTATGGATTAAACACGTTTGGTTTTTTTCCGCAATACTCCGAACTGTTTGTAAAGAAAACGTTTGTAATTTCTCAATACTTCGAACTGGAATTTGACAAAAAGTTTTTAATTCATCAACAAACTAAACCTTTCAAGTGTGTCTCGTTCGTTTCTCCAATACCCGGAACTGAAGCTATAAATAGCGTTCGGTAAGTCCCATATACCATGAGCTGTATTTCTTTATAGCTTTGTTTCACAGATACACCGAACTGTATCGATGTACAGTCTTGTTTATTATTGTCAAATCCACCGTCTTCTATAAATAACATCTGTTATAACAAATGTCACAAACTGTTTATACAATTGTTTATGTGTGGTAAACGAGAGGAACAGGGAAGCTAAGAATAACTCGATACAAAACAAATCTTTAAAAAGACATAGCAAAATGATTATGCATTGCATTGAAAAGGACGAAACACTCGCGGTGTTATAAAAATTATAAACGTTTTTTTTTATAAGAATGAAACTACATTCTGGTATAAATGTAAGTTTTGCTGATAAAACGTCATCCACTCCATTGAAGTTATGATGATAAGAGGCCAGCAACTATATTGTGATTAAACTGATGTAAATTTAACTCATTTCCCCCTGATCACCCCTGAATGTTCATACAAGACTTAGTAATTCATAGATGTTGAAAAAGGCTAAATATTACTGTAGGGGTTAGTTGGTTTTTGATGAATGAATAAATATAAATAATAATATGACTATTTAGATTCGTACTTGTTTCATGTATCCTTTCTTATTCTCTGATAATTAACGCAGGTTGACAAGCCATCAACGAAGACAAGTTTTACGAGCTTCTACAAATAATCAACCTTTTAGAATACCTAGTTCATAAGACTAAATACATGGTTGTTTTTTCAAACCCCCCATGCGGCGCGAAGCGCCGCCGGGGTTTGATCTGTAAACACGTTGTCCACTTCCGGTGCCTCCCCATGCGTGAAAGCCTTCTGGGAAATTAAGGCCGCATAAGATCTACAAAATTATGATATAAAGCCCATACGATATCCGTATTTATTACATTTTACTAGAGAGATATAATTAATTCTTATTCTAAGAAAAACATATCTTCAATACAGTGAAGATTAACGAAAAGTTGTATCTTCACATGTGAAAAAATCGCCCTTAGTACTGTCAAATCAAAACGGTACATAATATTCACTGCGTATATTTTCTGTTTCAACTTTAGATGAAGCGACAGCAGAATAAATGGTTTTGTGGTTCCACCTTGCACAATACATTATGGTATTTACATAACTACACAACTTATATAATTTTATATATTATTTTCGTTTGGAAATCTGACCAGATAATAGCAGCAAACGACAAAAATGCATTGAGAAACCCTTTCAAAATGGCGCTCTGTGTTGGTGTCAAGCGTGACGTCATTAGAACCGAGGGTCAAAAAATTACGCTACAAATTCCCGCGCTTTTCTAATGCAGCAATATTTGCGTAGCGTGACATGAATCTAAAATTTAATTGTTTTCCCGTTGAATACTATATATACATTTCACTCATATAAAACGGATATGTGTTTACAGAAGACGGTTAATATTCTATCCAAGGTCCAGTACATTGTCAAAGGAATTTGTAAAAATTGCGACAGGCATAAATGATATTTTATGTAAATCATGTTAATCTCTCTCTCAGAAGATGACGTTATTACCAAGTCGTTGACATTTAAATGTACAGTTAAAATGTACATTTGCGTGCTTTGGGACAATTCTGAACGACAAATTTAATGCCATTAACAAATATATTAGTTCATCTTCATCTTCATTTTTAACCTTTCTCCGTCAACATTGACGATTACGAAATGGTGGTCTTGTGCTGTAGTTCGTTGTTACATCTATGTACAGTGATTGTTTTTATAATTTGCTATAGGATAAAAACAGGTTAAAAGCAGTGAGTGAGTGTTAGTTATGCTGTAGGTTTTGTATATGTTTGTTTGTGTTATATGTATCTGTTAGTGTTTCTAATTGGATTATTGTTTTGTGTAGGAGGTTCCACTGTGTTATGTTGATGGAAATAATGTGGTTGTTGCTATATACTAGTATATATAAATATTGAGGTCCAGCAGCTTTGCGGCTGCATTTTTTTGTTTAAATTACGCACATTACACGAGTATTTAATTAGGTAAGGATTAAGGTAGTGTGTTAAACTGTGTTAACCATGTTTCTCTACATTTGTACTCTGAATTAATAATGCAACGGATATAAGACAAGCATATACTATATATAGATCTTCGCAGGAGAAACATATATATCCCTGTGTTATACAAGTGTTTTTTTTTAATTAAGTTAAGAAGGGAACATGTAATGTTTTTTCAGTTACCTGAAAATCACGGCTTGTATATACCATCGTTTTTCGGGTTCGACAACTGTTCGTGTTTCTACCCAGAACTCATTTAATATTTAAATACGTAGCTTACTATGCATGAATGCATATATAACAAACATGTACTGAAGTAATGTGCTGTGCTTGTGTAACTCACCTACAACGAATAGTCCATACAGGTCAATACAAGCGTTACAGTAAATATCTGTGTATGCCGTGTAAGAACAAAATGTATATAACACAACGTTACCAAATAATGACAAAAGTAACTCAGATATTCCATATGCAAT